AGGCTTAAAGTTGAAGGCCACCGCTTGGCTTTTCATAAATAACACATAATTACATAACGGAACTGTTTCAAAAGTAAACAAAACAAGAATAATGGCCCAAAATTTAAAAATCTTTTATGCTAAAAATATGTTTTGTGCGTAGAACAATTGTTGTAATAAATAATTTTAATATTCACTTTCTATTTGGTTTCAATCTGTCTGAATTAAATAAATTTTATGCTAAATGTAGCAAAATTTTGTATAAGATATTCCATAAAATAATATTATTATAATTTATACTGTTTATTGCTTATTTGTTTTTGTTCAGATGGTCATATCTTCACATATGAATATTTGTTTAAGGAAGTTTGTATTTTCGTACTGGGCGGGCGACTTTTACATAATCTTTTCTCAATGTTGCGCCAGACAAGAAGCAAATTCTGATAAATAAATAAATAACAATCGGCAATAACTGTCAGTGGTCGATGCATAAATTTGCCATGAAACAAGGAACGTGTGAGAAAAAATTGAATTTCACTCCAGAAATTGCCATTTTTGCCAATTTTGGGCACATATTACGTATTTAAACATTTTAAAGAATTTATTTTTAGATTTTAAGATTTTAACCTATAAAATCCATGTTAAAAGCACCAATAAAACAATTAATTAACACTTTTAAACCTAAACCTGTGAAACGCAACGATTAAATTTCATAAAGTAATAAGAACTTTTAATTAACATCTAAGTAATATTTTTACTAACGTTTTGTACCCAATTTCACATTGGTAAACTATTTAAAGTCAGAAAACAGACACGTATTAAACAAAACTTGCGTTTTTTAGCTCATTTATTTACAAACGTATTAAAGTATTTAAATTCTTCACTGGCAAAGAGTTCTTTCATGAGAAACGTCGATGATTAAATTGTACACGCGAAAAGCCATTAGAATGCATTAAATGTTTACGAAATACATAACACTTGCGCACACAACGAGACGCAATTTTGCTAATCGGCGCTGAGCGCGCTCGTTGCGCACTTTATTCTTTTGTTGCGATTCCGGGCGATGGGCAAACAATTTGTTTACGAGCTGCCAACAGCGGAATGTATCAACAATGCAAAGCCAACAAAAAGACTAAAAAACTCTGAATGCATTGTAATTGAATAGATTTAAAAGCATAAAAAATATTTTTTCGTTTTTTTGAACATTTTTTTATTCATTGCAAAATTTAAGCAAAAATAAAATAAAATTTTTGGTACCATTTTTCTTTTTGTAATGTTTATTGCATATTACATGTTTCCATGCAGACGATACGAGTATTGTGATTTGTGTCGGCGTGTTGCGGATGCAACCTTTTCCGTAAAGGTTGCGCCCGTATATTAATAACAATAAAAAGACATTCGAAAGTTTTTCACCTTTTTGTCGAGTACACACGCGAATGTGTAACGCCTTACAAGCGATTTTGTTGCGATTCATTCATCAAACGACGCCTCTGCTTTCATTCTTACCTTTTTCATATTTTATCCAGAGTCAAATGTCAAAAATCAAAGCGCTCAAAACATATAAACATATATCGTATTGTTATAACATTTAAAAGTTTCAGATTTTTATTTCTATACCATAGAAAATAAATTTATACCTACATGTTTCTTTGTTGTGTGATTTTTAAAGAAATATACTGATTATATCACACATTGAAATTAATTTAATTTTCTTACATTCTCAACATTAGCGCATCGATATTTATTTTGATAGAGAAAAGAAAGAAGGTCGGGTCAGCATTGGGCAAGGGAAGCCTCGTCACCCGAAACTTCCAAACTTAGATGCTCTCGCAATACGCACGAATTATTATATTTTTTTACATCTACAATCCATCTTAGTTGATTATTTCTTATTCACTCATTCACTTTTGTTCTGTTATTCAGCGCCTCGGAGTCGTGATGTGCGTTGATTATTACTTCACTTATTGCCTTATTGCTCGCGTCTAAAAATATAAAATTATAAACAAAACCAGTACTGGTAATACTCGAATGATGTGTGGAACAGTGGAACACAAAAGTTATGTGTGTGTGTGTGTGTGTGTTGGAATTTTTATTTTTGAAGGGGCGCTGGCGTTCATCGCACGTGGTGGGATTACTTACAAGCAATGCCGCCTGAAGAAGCTGATGCTCACGGGTATAAATTCTGCCGATGGCTCTGGGGATTCTCAGAGTCGTTTGTCATCTTGTTTGCATCGCTATAACAATCGCAATTTTGGATTAATTTTTAGTGCTGCTAATTGGAGTGTAATCAACAATCATGAAATATATTGTAAGTAATTATTATTAATAATAAATGAAAAAAATATATATTTTTTTTTAATTTTTATTTATTTTTTTAAATTTTTTAAATTTTATTGAAATTGTATTAACAGATTAAAAAAATTAAATTGCAAATAGGGCTTACTTACTAATAACTGAAAAGTAATATAATTACAATTTTTAATTAATTTTTTTAGTCTCCATGAAAAATTGTGTAGATATTAGTTTTTACAGAATAAGTTTTAGAACATTTAATTGCGAGTATTATTGGTTGCCTAATTAACGTGTTAATATTTTTTTTATTTTAACGGCGTTGCTTCTTTTTAATTTGCATTGCTGTTTACATTATGAGAGAGTAAAAATTAAGCTTCATCATACAGCAGTGTCTTGCTTAATTTCATTCAATTTACTACGAGTATTTACCAATTCATAAATCAACATCTCGTAGCGCGCGACGGCCTACTACAAAGCAAGTGAAGTTAATGTCAGCCTATGCAAATTGACGCATAAATTACATTTTCAAGATTTTGAGAAACAATAAAAGAATCGTGTGAAGTAATTTTTAAGTAATGTGTAAACCAAATTGCTTAATAGGCTTTTAAAAATCTCATAGTAATAATGATGTGTTTTAGGTTTTTGTAGCTTTAATCGGCGTTACCATTGCCGCCCCTCAAGGACCAACAACTGAACCGGTCCCAATTCTTCGTCAAGAACAGGAAGTTAATTTTGATGGTTCCTATAAGTGGAAGTAAGTTTAGATGTTTAATAATTGTATTCTTGGATAATTAAAGAGTATCTTTGTTTTAGTTATGAAACAGGAAACAGTATCACAGCTGAAGAACAAGGTTTCCTGAAAAATGCCGGTCAGCCCGAGCAGGAAGCTCAAGTAGCACAAGGTCAATACAAGTATACCTCACCTGAAGGTCAAGTCATCGAGTTGTCTTACATTGCTGATGAAAATGGCTTCCAGCCTGTGGGTGCACATTTACCTACACCGCCTCCAATTCCAGCCGCCATTCAAAAAGCTCTTGACTACTTGGCTTCACTGCCATCTACCGAGTCGCCACAACGACGATAATTTAGGCAACCAAATTGACACATAACACAATATTTTGTAAACGTAAATTTGTTGATGTCACACTTTTATCACACGTTTTCAATGAAATCCAGTCGATCATCACAACCTGTTTATAATCATGCCAAAAAATACATCGCACACGCATTATACTATAAATAAATTAAACTTAAATTTAAATTTGTCTCCAAGCAACTTTGATCATGTATAGTAATCGTATATTTTTGTAACTATCTGTATGTAATTGAATCTAGTTGTAAATTCTCGTGTTACCGTCATTGTATCTTCAGAACGTTTATTCAAATAATTTTTTATGTTATCGTTTGAATAAACGTTTTATGATTCAATAAATTAAAAATATTTTTTGATAAATTATCTGTACTTATAATATCTACCAATATCCAAATGTAAAAACTTATTATTTTAATTTTATGTTAATGAAACAATTCAACAATATTTGACATTTTTTTCAATGCTCACAACTTACAGGATTTAATTTTTTATTGTTTGCTGATTTGATGTAAAATTAAATATCACAACTATTAAAGTAGGTTTACGTTAAAATATGTGACGGGATAATAAATCATCGTATTAGATGAAATTTGTGGGCATAAATTATGCAATTATGCAATTATTTTAAATGTTGAAATGCATATGCAAAATTACCTTTGTCCTATACCTTAAGCCAGAAGAAATCAACAGAATTCACAATTTTCAGTGAAAATTTAATAAAATAATTTATGAATACATTTTATGACATTGAATCAACGCAATAAAAATGTCGAAATCATCTAAATTTCATAAATAGTGTATCATCAGAATTTACACAACTGATGATCTTTAAAATTCTTACAAAATACAAAACTATTTGACGATTCCCGAATATAATGAATGGAATGGTCCATAATTTCACGGTGTTCTTGTTCTCATTCTCGTTGACATAACACGTTGACATAAGTAGTTGTTTAATTGATTGCCAAATCGCGTCTTCTATTCATTTATAACAAACAAATAAAATCTTTTTCAATTCATATATTCCATTATAAATACAAGTTTATTGCGGCTATTACACCAGACGCAATCTGGCAAAAGTAAAAGAACGTCGGAGAAAACTTGCACCGGAGCGTAGAAATGCCGAAACAAAAAGGTTAATTAGACAACTAATGATATGATGATGCGACAATATTTAAATGTAAATGTTTTAACTGACCGCATCGAGATTTGTTACATAATTATTTGATTTATATCTTTTTCTGATAAATACTAAATGTTTCTTATAATTTCATCCAAGTAATATAAAAATTATAATTTAATAATTTTGTTGTAACATTCAGTATAATTTATTGTAGCTTCAGGCAGTTTAAGTCTATTGTTTTTTTGAATATAATATAACTCGCCCACTTTTTATGCATCTATTTTAATTTGAATGTGTAAAATTAAATATTACACACCGATAAATTAAATAATCGGTTATTCATCACAGTTGGATGTCTTCTCGCACATCTTAAACAATTTAAACACACGATTAGATGGTGTTAAACAAGTTGGAACTATCGAAAATTTTGTGGCGTCTTCAAAGAGAGGGAGAGTCATCCAACAAGTCATATAAACTGACCCGACAAGCCTATCGATATCATTGACTTTACATTCGTTCAATTATAAACTCAAAGAAATTTCTACTAAAATGAAACTTTTCGTAAGTAAAAATAAAATAAATTTTTATATTATAATTAATATTTTAATTCTAGGTGTTTGCGTTATGTGTGTATTTGGTTGTTGCTGATGATATTCCTATTCTTCGGCAAGTAAGTGAAGTAAATCCTGATGGGTCATACAACTACGCTTATGAAACCGGAAATGGTATCTCTGCTGAAGAACAAGGTTTCTTGAAGAATGCAGGACAGCCGGATCAAGAAGCGCAAGTGATGCAAGGACAATATCAATACCAAAGCCCGGAAGGTGAAACAATTCGAGTGGTGTACATCGCTGACGAGACTGGCTTCCATCCACAAGGAGAGCATTTGCCGACTCCACCACCTATTCCTGCTGCTATTCAAAGGGCTTTGGATTATATCGCTGCAAACCCCAGTCGTGAGAACAATAAATAAATGCAATCAAAATGAAACAATAGCACCAGATTTTTTAACTCACAAAATAATAATATTTGTTCATCCTTTTGTATTGTCTAGTCTAATTTAAATAAATCAATAATTACATCAAAATGTTAATTATTTATTTAATAAATAAAATGTTTTTTTTTTAAGTATAAATTTGTTTATAATGGTCGAGTTTATAAAAATGCAAATTGGATAGTGATCGGCGTTGATTACAAATATTAATTTATGACATCTATTACAATGTTACAATATTTACGATGCGTGAGCTCGTGCCTATCGATGACCCAGTGATATTTTGGCAGAATTTTAAATTAGCGTAGGATTAATTTATTTTATTTTCAATTTTGGGAAAATAGAAAGACACTTACACAAAATATAGGTACCAGTTATAAGATATAAATAGCTGTTGCTAAGCGTTGTAGGCAACTTTAAAAGCTTTTAGTGTGAATGTGAGTATATTAAGCAGAGACTGGAGGAAGTTGGGTATGCAAACATAAAACACTGGCTTCTGATCAGGGATTTGAGTTAAAATGAGCCAAAGATAAAGAATATAAAGATATTGTCACCAAAAATATAATTTGGCAAAAAGAACAAAGAAACAAACGTTTGCAATTAATTCTGGTGTTGCCGAGAAAGTTAGGTAGCAGATATGCCTATATTTTTGTCTCTAATTACACATAAATCATGCATACAGAATAAATAGTAGGTGTAAAATTATTACATTTTTAATGACGACTGAAATAAGATAATTTAATTCATCATAGACACGGATTACGCCATTTAGCAGAATTCCATGCAAGGCGCACTACACAAGTAAACAAGTCACGCGTTCGATAAAAACAAGTTTTGTTAGATAGAAGAGAGAAGATAGTGCTTGGATATACAAAATCATTCAAAAGATATAATTCAAAGATGGCTACAGTGCACTTTTATATAATAAATTCGTATTGTTTGGGTGAGTAACACTGGGTTTTTGTGAGTGTCGTGAGTGTGGAGTTGAATGTTGTGATTTATGTCGCGTGAGCGCAACCGGTGCGTGCGCTTTACTTTTATATACACAATTTAATTTTGCATATGTGCGAGGTTGATATAACTGTTGCAAAGCAATGCAAATGTTTGGTATTAATCCACTTCAGGTTTACCGAACGTTTGCATTAATTTTCAATAGTTTTAAAGTGTTTTTCAGAATTACTTATTAATTCTTGTTTGAACTCCATATGTTACAAAGAAAATTAAATAATAATAATAACCAAATGAAATAATTTTCTACATATTTATTAGTAAGTAGGTACTTTATTACATTCTATTATCAACTTTGTTGAATCATTTGTTTGGCTTAATTTAAAAAGTAATCATTTAGAATCGTCGGTTTGCTTGCTGTTCTGGGGTGGGTGCGATGCGATCCCGGTCAACGCTCTTTTGAATAGCTACCGGAATTGAGGTGAGTGGGTAGGTAAATCTGTAGTTTGGTATCCATTCTCATCAGCAATGTGCAGGATCTGGATAGGTGTCCTTCAGAGAGAGTCCACGCGAATGATCCCTGTACGGTTTTACAACTTGCTCAGTCCCTAACTGCTGTACCTAGGCTTATCTTATTAGCGAATACCATTATCTGTTTCGTGGCTTGCAAACCACCATAATAATTGTAATTGCAAATGCCATTTGTCAAAGAGTAGCGGTGTAACTACTTTCCATTTACGTTTAAAAAATCAATACAATGGTACCGCAAGTTTTAGAATGTTGAATATGATTGTATGTTACAGCAATATTTCGCATTTAAACAGAATGGCCGAAAGTCGCAGAAATATCAACGCTTAACGCATTTGCATTTTACGCTGTGTGCACTTTGCTGGACTCTTATTAATATGCAACTAACTAAATAATAAAATAATAGAATAAAATTATACATTTACGACCAGGAATAACTGCCATCCAGGTTGAATGTCAGATTCTGACGCGAAGAATTTGAGCATTTGCTTCAGCACCAGAACTATGTGATCCGTAAAAGATGCTGAGTAGATTTGATGGACCCTAAAAGGGTATTACCAGGACATTAGGAAAGATGCTTGACACATCAGCATGGCCTTCCCATCCCAACAATAGCCAGAGGAAATAACCTAAAATTTATTTAAAAAAAGTGGAGTGGGTTAAATATCACATACAAAAACATTAATAATTAAATATAATAATTATATTTTTTGTGCTTACCAATTTAAACATTTTATCGTTTGTAAGAAGATTAAATCACACACGGATTAAAATCTCTTAAAACCTGAAGATTAGTTCTGATATCAAGATGAACTTGTGATCTGTTGTGTTTGTCCGACACATCTTCTAATATTTATACCCCACCAGGAAGGGAATACACCACAGAAACATACAGCAGGTTTAATAAATACAAATTAATTGATTTCTAGCACACCATCCGCAGTTATTCTAACTTCTTTGCTCTTTCACTCTCGATAGACTCTGGTTTTCTTTGCATAATTTATCACCTTTTGATCACCTAGCAGTACGTAGCACA